GATATTAAATTTGTAAAGGACTCTTTGAGACAGCCTTATTTCATATATATATAGTTCCAAGTTTTTAGTCCATTCGTGTAAAAAATCGATATATCTTTAGCTTTATTTGAAAATGTGGTTAAGAGGGATCTGTAAGTTGGCTTCACCGAAAAGCGGAAGATTACTTTTGAGTTGCTACTGTGGATTTATGCAAATAAATCCTCAGTGCACTTTAACGCGATCCGAACGAACCTCTACTGAACTTTAGTATTTGTGTGAAAGACATCGACAAAGTGGGAAAGTAATTAATTTACCAAAGCGTTAAAATAAGAAAGGTGACCAGACACAGTCACACCAATTTCTTAGAGCTTAACTCTGTCCAATTGATGAATCCATTTAGAGATTCTTCGAAGCTCAGCTTCTCTTCATATCGGTTTAAGGTATGTAATAAGTCGATTATAATCATTAAACAGATTTTACCGTTGTTTCTGATAGGCGAATGATGGAGTTTCTGATTCCGATTTGGATGGTCCGAGACGTCTTGCACTAAAGACTGCAGCTAGAATTTCGTCCTTGGCGAACATATCGTTATCGTTGAGCCACGTTTCTTTTTCCACATTTTCACCATCCTCAGATATCTGGTCTAAATTTAGATTATCAAGGGAGCACCGCATTTCGGAGTTTAGTGATTCATTATTATCTTCAAAAGTAGTGGCAGAGAGGTCGGATCCAGCCAGCAAGTTTAAATGATGGCATCCAGTGAAGTAAAGAGATGAAAATAATATAAATGCAAAAAAGCTACTGTATTAAAGTGGCCATCAAAGCTATGTTAAAACCTGGCCAATTTTTTTCAGCGAAGTAATCAAGAGTTTAGACAAGCTTTAAAAAATGCAGAGAGCTTTTTGCAAAACCAAGACCTTGCAAAGATCAATATGGATAATCTGGTCTAAACTTCGAAGTGGGTTAATCTCGTTGTCGCAACTTAGTCCTGTTGTCAGGGCGACTTAGTAGAGCGCACCTAGTCCATAGTCGTCTGCCATAGTGGTTATCATGATTCCCAGCATCAGACAATGGACTTGGTACACTCTATGACCTTAAGAAACCCTACCATTCGGCTAAGGTTAATGAGTATCTCCACCAGGCTTCTATTCAGAAACTAAGAGACCTATGATACAGAACGGAATAAGTTGTTTAAGTTTATATATATTAAGTCATAGCTCCGGCGTGATCTGGCGAGGATCCTGTCTCAGGAAGATTTTCAAAACTCCAGAGAATGACCGACAGCAAATCACATAGGATTTATGACTTAATATCAAAACGGCATGATGATAAATTGCGTAAGTTTGGGATTATAAGACAGCTTAAATTAAAGCCAGAACGCCCATTTTAAGTGGCTTCCGAGGTGAAAACACCTATTGATCGGCACGAGGATAGGAAGAAAGAATAAAACTTATCATCAATTCCTCTCAATCCTAAAACAATCGCGTTCCTGGAAAAAAGACTCAATTTTTCAATTCAATTTCACAGAAGCCTTCTATGAGATATTCTAGTGGAGGT